TACACCCCCCCGACTCTCCGTTTCCTCACTGCGATTTATAGAGCTGTGTTTTGGGGTGCTTTGTCAGGGGGGGTTTTGGCCCCATTTCCTACACAGCAGCGCTCACCCCCCCCCACAGCCGCACCCCCCAACGTGCACAGAGGGGCTCAGACCCACACCCAGCCCCACACCCATGGCTCTGCTCCGCTCTCCCTTTGCCCCGCTCGCCCATCCACCACCACACCAAACCCTTTCTTTCCTCCCCCAACCCCACCGCCGCTTTTAAAACCAACCCCCCCCGCCCTCCCCTCCCCTCCCACCCCCAACCCCCTTTTTATTTCTTTTGTGTTACTTGAAAATATTCACCCCCACGGCTCAGCACCCACCACCACCACCACCCCAACCCGCAGTGCCCACGGATGGAAGCGCTGCAGCCGATGTTTGGCCGTTACCCCTCGGCGCTGTGCGGTGCCAGCAGCTCCGGCCTGGCCCTGCCTGGGGGGCACAAACTGCAGTTGGGGTGGCTATAGGATGGTGCAGGGCTTTTTGTCCTTAAAGGGATTCTCGGAGGCAGGTACCCCCACCAGCAGAGGGTCGCTCCGGGCATGCTGCTCACAGTAATTCATCAGCTCCGAAGAGGCTTTGGAGACCTGGAAGGGAGAGGAGAAGGTGAGTGAAGGGGGGTTGGAGGGGTTGTCCTGATGGGTGAGAGATGAAAAAGGAAAAAAGAAAACCGCCCCCCGATGTGAGGGATGGGGGCTGTGAGCTGTCAGAGGCTGTTCCCTATGGCTGTGCCTATTGCAGTTTAGGTTCACACCACTATGGGGGTCTGTAGAGATCCCTGTGCTACGGGGGTACTCCCTCCATAGGGGTTAGTAAAGGTCCCCATGTTATGGGGGACTCTATGGGGGTCCATAAGAGTCCCTCTGCTATGGGGATCCCCTCATTATGGGGGTCTGAAGAGGTCCCTGTGATATGGGGGGTCCACCCTCTATAGGTGTCCATAAGAATCCCTCTGCTATGGGGATCCCCTCACTATGGGGGTCCAGAGGGGTCTCTGTGATATGGAGATCCCCCCTCCATAGAGATCCCTGTGCTACAGGGGTACCCCTTCCATGGGGTCTGTAAGGGTCCCCATGCTATAGGGGTCCCCCCTCTACGAGGGTCCATAGGGATCCCTGTGCTATGGGGGACCCCCCTCAATGGGGCCCATAAGAGTCCCTCTGCTATGGGGATCCCCTCACTATGGGGGTCCAGAGGGGTCCCTGTGATATGGAGATCCCCCTCCATAAGGATCCCTGTGCTATGGGGATCCCCCCACTATGGGGGTCCATAGGGGTCTCTGTGTTATGAGGGTTTCTGTGTTACGGGGGTCCATAGGGATCCCTATGCTACTGGGATCCCTCTGCTATGGGGGTTCATAGGGATCCCTGTGCTATGGGGGTCCACTCTCCATGGGGCTCCATAAGAGTCCCCATGCTATGGGGGTCCTCCCTCTATGGGGGTCCATAGGGATCCGTGTGCTATGAGGGGGTCCCCTCCATGGGGGTCCATAGAGGCCTCTGTTCTATGAGGGTCCCCCCACCATGGGGTCTCTGTGCTATGGGGGTCCCTGTGCTACGGATGGGACCCAAACGGATCCCTATGCTATACCTGCTATGGGGTAGAGATCCCTATACTATGGAGGACCCTCTGCTATGGGGATGCTATGGAGATGCCCCCTCTATGGGGGTCCCTGTGCTATGAGGGGTTCCCCTCCATGGGGGTCCATAGAGGCCCTGTTCTATGAGGGTCCCCCCCACCACGGGGGTCCAATAGGGGTCCGTGTGCTATGTGGGTCTCCCCACTATGGGGGTCCCTGTGCTATGGGGGTCAATAGGGCTCCCTGCTGTTCCCAGGCAGGGCCCTGTGCTCACCTTGATGCGCTCGATGCCGGCCTCGATGCGGAGCTGCTCCACCAGCTTGCGGGCCTGAGCGATGTTGTTAGTGGTCGACATTGTCTGCCATCGGCGCCGGGCCCAGCACTGAGGATCCTGCAGCACAAAGGGCACGGGGTTGGCACAGCATGGGGCTGCATCCCTTCCTCACCCCACACAGCTGTGCTGATGAGAGGGGAAAAATGCAAGGCGACGAGGCGGAGGTGGGCAAACGAGGGCTGCACAGAGGGGATGCGTGGGGATGGAGGTGCACAGCTCGGACCTGCAATGTTAATTTGCCATTTGGCAAATGCCCCTGTGAAGAGCAGGGCCCCCATGGTGGGGGGCTGCAGGGACAATCCCACGGCACAGCAGCGCTGATGGGTGGCACGGCTCAATGATCCCCGTTGCTCAGTGCCACCTGCGCTGCGTCACGGGGCAAACATGCAGCGATCCCACAGCCCTGGGAATTCCTGCCGTGCTTCTCATAGCTGCGAGCAGCCGCTCCCAGCAGGGTGAGCAAACACAGCACATCCCAGCAATCAGCACTGCTCTGAGGCTGGGGCAGAGCAGCGCCCGGGTTTGGCCCCATGGGAAGCACCCAAGGGACGCGGTGCTGCACGCCCTGCTGCGTGGATTGGTGACAGAGTCCTCCGTCCCCACGCTGTGCTCCCAGCTCAGAGCGTTGAGCTGAGCTCAGTGCTGTGAGCACGGAGTGACTGCACAGCCTGGAGGTGCTCAGGGGTAGGATGAGGGGGAATGGATTGGAACCAAAGGAGGGTGTGGGTGTGGATGCAGGCTGGGTGCTGGGATGGCAGCCCAACGTGGTGCATTGCAGCCCCCAGCCCCACGACCCCCAGCCCCACGTTGGAGATGAGCTCATGCTTTTCTGGAACAGAAGAAGGCTGTTAGGGTGACGGCATTTGCTCCTTGTCTGGGCAGAACAAAGCAGGCTCCACTTTTCTTTTACACTTCCTGCACCAGTAGCTTAACAGCTGAATGAGCTATTGAATTTTTTCCCCGAGTGCAGCAATTTTTTTTTTTTCCCTTTTATGTCTTTTTTTCTTTTTTTTCCCCCCTTCTTTAAGACCTCCTGATTTGTGTGGCGTGGGACAAAGCGAGAGCAGCAGAGCTGGAGCCATCCTGGAGCATGGGACTGGGATGGAGTTGTCCATCCTGTGCTCAGAGCTCAGTCCACGCAGCAGCTCAGTGCCACCTCCCTGCTCTCTGCCCACCTTTGGGGGTTTCTTTTTTTCCCCAGCTCTGCATTCAGTTGGGTGCAGCTGCAAAAGGCACCCAACCTTTCGGTGCACTGCATGCATCACGCTGCAAGCTGCAGCTCAGCTCTGAGCCTGCTGACATGCACACGAGGCTGCACGCTTTGTGCACAGCTCAAGCAGGAGCCCCAGCAGGTCAGGCTTTCTGTTTTTCTTGCAGCAGACAGCACCCGAGCTCTGAGCACAGCCTTGGGCTTCCTCGAGGTATTCTGCACTCCTGCTGCAAACGCTTTTATTGCAAACAATCCCACTGCAAACGCTCCTGCTGCAAGCACTGCGTGGTGCTCCAGCTGCAGGGCTGTGCTGCTTGGCTTCAGAAAGCAGCAGCAGGGAGCTCCCAGCCCATCACCCTGCACAGGAGGTGCTGATGCACTCGGGTGACACGCAGATGAGACTCAGAGCCCTGCAGAGCCCTGAGCTCAGCCCCCATCTGTGCAAACCCCATGACAGCACGTTGCTGTGCTGGGATCTGGGATCTCCCCCTGGAGCATCATGCTTGGTCACAGCCCCACTGCTCCCATAGCACTGCATGGGGCCACACGTTGCACCACGAGCTGTGCATGCTGAGGGCCCAAGCTTGGCTCCCAGCTGTGCTGCAAGAGCAGCGTGCAGTGACATCAGCCCCAGCAGGCACAACACACCCGTTGTGTGGTGGGGGAAGAGGCTGGAGCCCTTTGCAGTGCCCCCAGCGCCGTCCTCTTCTTTTGTGTGCAGTGCAAAAAAGAAGCTGTGTTTGTTTGCCAGGCTGACTGCAGCCATTATGCACACGTGCACCCAAATGGTGCTGCAGAGCTGCTAAAAATAGGGGCCAGGCAGCACCAAAACCACAGCAGCCATCGTCACTGCGTGGCACAAAGAGCCCTGGCACTGCTGGGGGGTCAACGAGGGCTGCCACCATGCACAGCTATTGCACAAGCATTGCACAGACACTGCACAACCATTGCACAGCTATTGCACAGCTGCTGCACAACCATTGCACAGCCACTGCACATCCATTGCACAGCTACTGCATAACCACTGCACAGCCATTGCACAGCTATTGCACAACCATTGCACAGCTGCTGCACAACTACTGCACAGCTATTGCACAGCCATTGCACAGCTTCTGCACATCCATTGCACAGATATTGCACAACCATTGCACAGACACTGCACAGCCATTGCACAGCTACTGCATAACCACTGCACAGCCATTGCACAGCTATTGCACAACCATTGCACAGCTGCTGCACATCCATTGCACATCCATTGCACATCCATTGCACATCCATTGCACAGCCATTGCACAGCTATTGCACAACCATTGCACAGCTGCTGCACAGCCATTGCACATCCATTGCACCTCCATTGCACAGCTTCTGCACATCCATTGCACATCCATTGCACAGCTATTGCACAGCTATTGCACAGCCATTGCACAGCTATTGCACAACCACTGCACAGCTGCCCAGCAGGGCTGTCCCCAGCTCACAGCTGAGATCTGGAGCAGTGCAATAAATCCCTTCCTTTGCATCACAACGCACCAGCTGCCGAGCAGCAGGCGCAGGAAGGCAGCAGCAGTGAATCTGCTCTGCTCACAGCTGCTCACAAGGACAGGTTTTGTGCTGCTGCTGTTGCAAACATGCTGCACACTGATGGCAGAGCAGCGAGCTGCCCTGGAAGAACCCAAACCTGCACAGAGGGTTGGAAGGATCTGATTGGAGACCACACAAAACCAACGCTCTCCCCATCAAACAATTAGCACCATGCAGGTAACGAAGGCTGAGAGACCCAAAGTGGGAGCTCAGCTCTCCATCCCCGTGCTGAGAAACCACTCAGAGCCAACAAACCTTCAGCCCCCCCCCCCCTCTCTCCCCACCTCCTCCTCCCCAAGGCGTGCAGCTCTGCTGTGAGCCTGGCCACTGCTGACACGATGACTGCAGCATCATGTGAGGGTTTGCAATGAGGAGCACTCCCACACGGCCCCAGAATCTGCTGAGGAAGGGGAGGAAGGAGGAGGGGAAGCTTTCTTTTGTGCCTCTTCCAGGAAGGAGTCACGCAGTGCTGGCGCAGCTCCGGGCTGAGCTCAGGGCTCTGGGAACTGCCCTGGAAAGGCTGAGGCTCTGGGAACAAAGAAGAGGCTAAAAATGGAAGGTGCAGGGCAGGGCTGCTGCACAGGGGGATGCTGGGGGTGTGGGACCCTCCTTGGCACTTCCCATCACTTCCTGAGGGTCAGAGAGCAAAATGTGGGACGATTCAACATCTTCACATGTGCAGCACTGGGCACAGAGCCCCACGCTGCTCCATTCCCACGCTGCATGAAGGCACAGCTTTCCTTCCCCACTGCTCAGCTGTGAGCTCCTTCCACAGCTGCCTGCTAACCTGCAAACAAAAGGAAGGTGGAGGCAAACGCTTTCCTGCAGTGTCACTGCTGCAGCAATGCAGGAGGAGCAGCACACGGAGCTGTTATCAAAGGGCCATGCAGCCATTCCCTTCCAGCAGCTGAACTGGGAAACTGGGAATGACTTTGTCAGCTTTGAGGGAGAGCTTTGTCAGCTCAGGCCCTGCAGCTGTGAGCACACAGAGGAGCAGCACAGCACTGACACACAGAGCTTGGTGCTGAACGCTGCAGATGGAGCACAGCCAGGTCACAGACTGCACTCTGCAGCCTCTTGCTGGCTTTTAGGTTTTCACACCCTTGTGCAGCTCGGGGTTCCCCAAGCATCACCACGCAGAGCACCCAGCACAGCACCTACGGGGCACCCAAAGGATCTGCCTGTCAGCTCCACAAACCCAATACAGAGCTGAAAGCAGAGGGGAAACTGGAAAGTCATAGCCTGGCAGATTGGTCAGCCCTGGTTGGAAGGTGGAATGCTAATTGGTTCTGGTAGAAAATCTGTACTGATAGAGAAAGATGTGCTGCCCTCCTGGGGGATGTGTCACTCATTTGGGGGATGTATCACCCACCTGGGGTTACATCACCAACCCAGGGCATATCATCCACCTGGGGCTCATATCACCCACCTGGGGGACATATCACCTGTATCAGCCACATAGGGGATGCATCACCCACCTGCAGGATGTGTCACACCCCTGGGGCTCCTATCACTCACCTAGGGGACACAGCACCCACCTGGGGCTCACATCACCCACCACAGGGACGTGCCACCCAGTGGGCTCTCAATGGCAGCAGCAGGGCTGACTCCCAGCACCACGAGCCAACAAAACCTCCACGGAGCTGTTGTGGAGCATCAGAGAGAAACAGGGACAAAACAAAACCAAAATATTTGTAAAGCACAATGGGATTTTTATTTTTTTTCCCCCTTTTTTTTTTTTTTTTTCCTACCACCACCACTGGAAAAAGCTTTTCAGGCACCCAGCCAGCACCACTTCAAAGGGTGCAGAAGCGCGTGGGGCTGAAGCTGCTCAGAGCTTTCATGTGAAGCAGAACACACGAGCTGGGCTCAGCACAGGGCTTTGGTGCAGCATTCCCAGCAGCACACAGTGGCCATGGGGTTGGGATACGTGGGGGGGCACAGTGGGATGGCAGGGGGACACGGGGGGGGTGCGTGGCACACAGCCCCCTCCTGCCCTGTGCAATGCCATCTCAGCACAGCCCATAAAGCGATGCTATGGGTTTGTTTTGCAGCTGGCTCCTGGCTGTCTGCAGGACCTCATCTAGACGGTGAAGGAGACAGGTTTTAACCAAGCAGGGAGCAGAGTTTCCAGCAGCCCTGTTTTGCTAAGGGAGCTAATTGTCGATTCCTCACATTCCAAGCAGTCAGGCAGCGGACCTGGTCTCACTTCCCAGGACTTAACCTCTTCCAGTCTGACATCAGGAGAGCTGGGACACAGACCTGGAGCTCATCGCTGCATTTCTGGTGGAGAAGGATCACTTCTCCCATGGATTCATGCTCCACCCCAGTGCAGATGTGGGCAGTGAACACTGAAGGACAAACCTGAGCTGAGCTGCAGCCAGCTGGAGTCTCCAGGGCTAAAGATAAAGAGGAGGAAGGCTGGAAGTGGAAATGCTCACCTAGGTTTGCTGGGGTGGCTCAAAGCCACTTTGGTTTCAGTCAGAACTGCTGCTAAAATGAACTCAGGAGGAAGCAGCAGAACCCCAGCACTGTGCATGCTCCTGTCCTGGGCACACGGGCATCATCCTCCTCCTCCTCCTCCTCCTCCTCCTCCTCCTCCTCCTCCTCCTCCTCCTGATGACACAGTGCTGACCTCATCCACCCTCCACAGATGTAAACACTGCAGTTTGCTCTTCTAAGGCACAAAGCAAGCCCCCCAAATCCCCGGGTGCTGTATGGGAAGTGGGTTTTTATAACCAGAATAGGACAAGAAGTAAAGAAAAATCCCTTAAAGAGAAGTGAAGAGCCCAGAACGCTGCATGCAGGCTCTGCGTTCGTTTGCACATTGCAAACAGGCAAACCTCTGACACATGGCTTTGTGGTGAGAGGTGTCTCCCAGCCCAGCCTGGCTGCACAATCATAAGCCACAGCACTGGAAAACAAAGGCAATAAGTGCACGACAGAAAAGGAAGAAAACAAAAAGAGCTC